GCGGCTGGGTCGGGCCTGGGCCGCAGAACCCCGGGGTGGGGCCTCCCGGGTCCCCTGAGCGTCTCTTGGGGGCCCTCTCCCCGCCCCGAAGAGCGGCCCCTCCCTCCACCCATGGGGTGGGGCGGACTTCAGCACCGGCGGGAGGGACAGCGCCAAGCATTTCTGCACCGCGCCCCCCCCCCCACACCCCCTGAGCCGCTTAAGCACCGGGAAGGTCAAGGCCGCTTGGGGTCCCGGTGGAGGGGTGGGGAGGGGCCGCGCCCAGCTCTCTGTTTGCTGACCCGCGTCCGCTTCCTGCCTTGCAGCGGTCGGGATGGAGGTGAGAAGACGGCCGTGACGCGCGCCCGCGCGGCCCCCTGCACCCCCAGCAGCCCACAGCGCTCCCTGCCCCCCTCCCCCGCGGCGGCCGGCCTTGCCGTCCAGTGACAGCGGCCTGGGGGGGCAGGGGGGGCGGGGGCAGCCGGACCAGCGATGCCGGCGGGCATGACGAAGCATGGCTCCCGCTCCACCAGCTCGCTGCCGCCCGAGCCCATGGAGATCGTGCGCAGCAAGGCGTGCTCACGGCGCGTCCGCCTCAACGTCGGGGGTCTGGCGCACGAGGTGCTCTGGCGCACCCTGGACCGCCTGCCCCGCACGCGGCTGGGCAAGCTGCGGGACTGCAACACGCACGACTCGCTGCTCGAGGTATGCGACGACTACAGCCTCGACGACAACGAATACTTCTTCGACCGCCATCCAGGCGCCTTCACCTCCATCCTCAACTTCTACCGCACCGGGCGGCTGCACATGATGGAGGAGATGTGCGCGCTGAGCTTCAGCCAAGAACTCGACTACTGGGGCATCGATGAAATCTACCTGGAGTCCTGCTGCCAGGCCCGCTACCACCAGAAAAAGGAGCAGATGAACGAGGAGCTCAAGCGGGAGGCAGAGACCCTGAGGGAGCGAGAGGGGGAGGAGTTCGATAACACGTGCTGTGCAGAGAAGAGGAAAAAGCTCTGGGACCTCCTGGAGAAGCCCAATTCTTCCGTGGCTGCCAAGGTGAGTCTGGGATCTGCGGGAGATTGCATCGGTGGCTCTGCTTGTGTCTCCAGATCGAGGACCACGGCCTGCTGTGTGTGTTGGGGCGGGGGGGGGGGGGGTCCTCTGGTTTAGTTCCCAAATGAGACCAGAAAGGGGAGGGGCTATGGCCCAGGCCTCAGAGATGAGGACCAACCCCTTTGGACTGTTCCTATTTGCATTGGTGACCTCATCCCTTCATTATTCAATACCTCGACTTTGTGGGAGACAAGGATTTGTGGAGGCATAAAAAATCCACAGCAAAGGGGTGGGCGCTGTAAATAAGAAAGCACAGAGCGACGCGAAAGCCTTGCTGGGATGGAGTAGAGTGTGGTCTGTATACACAGTGCTCCCTTGTGGAGTCCTAGACCCAGACTGGAGGGGGGGTGGTCACCTGGGATTCTAATACTTATCCCTGTATTCATAACCCCACTTTGCCCCAAGGAAGGAATGAAAGCAGCTTACAGACATGCGTGGAGGACACTGAAATACTGTCAGGCAGTTTTAACATAAGTAAGGAAAATGAGGCAAAGAGTCTCAGGGGTGGGTGTGTGCATGCATGACGAATGCAGCTGGCTGTGGATGCTTGTGGGCGAAGGGTCACCCCTGGTTTGTTCTTTCTTTATTTGTTTGGTGAGTTTATTCCAAGAATGATTTGGTGCAGCTTGTAAAGATGCTTGGGCTGTCGGAAGAGGATGTAAATTTTGAAATGAGAGAGAAAAATGAGGCAATGTGGAAAATGAAGCAGAAGGAGACAGAAAGGCTTCAGTCGCACTGAGTGGACCAGTGTGCTGTTGGGTAAAGGCAGAGGCTGTAACAGACTGAGGAAGACTTGGGGTGGGGGGACAGGCCAGGGAAGGGGGTCACTGGTTGATGAGCAGCTTCTTTGTGTTGAGCTGGCTTCTGGGAATGCCTCGGAGAGATGGGGCCTGTCTTCAGGTGGCCAACAGGCAGGGTGTCGGGAATGCATGACAACACAGTGTGCTCAGCACTCTAAAAGAGGTTGTGGGAGGCCCGGAGGGAGCCAGAAAAGAGAAGTGTTGATGTTGAAATCCAGGAAGACCACTTTGGGAAAGATATGTTGGACATAACTCACTTTCGAAGAGCGGGGCCAAGAGGAGGGTGGGGGTGGAGTGAGCAGGTAGGTAAATGTATTCGTGGCAAAAAGAAAAAGGCAGGAGGAAGCATATATATCAGCATCATGTATTTGCTCAGGTTGCCTCCTGCCCGGCCTGGCCTCTCCTTGTGGGATTCCCCTGGCTTAGGTAGCCCATTACTGAAGATCCACCTGCAAGGCTGGGTCCTTTTACTAGATCTGGCTGCCCAGGAAGAGGCCTCTGAGAAGGAATGCAAGAGGAGGTGGCTGGTAGGAGGGTGGAGGGAGGCCTGAAGGTTTTCTCTCTTCCCTGGCAACCCTAAGTAGAGATTTCTAGGCCTGGTTTCTTCTTCTGTGGGCTGCCTCTGACCATAATCCTGCCCTAGGTTTCGTGTCCAAAAAACCTCCCTCTTAAGACAGTCACTCACCCTTAACCGGCTTAGGATCAGCAGACTTACTTTGCTATTTCCAGGCCTGACATGGGTTCTTCCTACACACACCCTATTTAGGTCCAAACATGACTCTTCCCCCTCCCTGTCCTGTCCCTAAGACATGAGACTGAGGGGCCACAGGGGTCGAGCCGCCCTCCCACAGAAGAAGCAGGCAAAGGACCGTGTTTGGGTTGGAGTCTGGCAGCAAGATAGGGGAGCTCAGGCTTGCAAAAGACGCCGTCTGGCAATAAACAGCCTCATCTTGCCCTCGGGTTAATCCGCTCGCAGGGACGAGCTTCATGACCTCTCCGTGATCCCAGGCTCAGGCTGTCAGCTCACATTCCTGGCAGATGGACAGTCTAGGATATTCTTCAGGCAGAACGGAGATGGGGAGGCAGGCAGGCTCATTGATCCTCAACAGAAATCCTGACCACCATTGATCAAATATTTTACTGTGTACGAAATGTAACAACACAATTAATCCTTACACCAGCTCTCTGTTGTTATCCCACCTTTCACAAATAGGTTCAGAGAGGTTGAATAACTTGCCTGAGGTCACACAGCAAGCAAACGGGAGTAGCCAGAAGTTCAAACCCAAGTGTGATTTTGAAGACCTTGTTCTTTCCATAATGATTTAATGCCACAGACGCCTCTCTAGTCTCCCCGCTTCCACTTTTGCCCCCCGCGATCCGTTGCCCACACAGCAGCCAGAGTGAGCCTCATCTGCTTAAAATCCTCCAGAGATTTCCCACAACACTCTGAATAAAATCCACTCCCTCCACCGTGGCGTACCAGACGCTACTGAATCGGCCCCCACGTCCTCTCTGAACTCACCTGTCCAATCTCCTGTCATTCACTGGGCTCCAGACCCACTGGCTTCCTCGCTATTCCTGAAACAGGGCAGGCTTTAGCCTTCCTCAGGACTTTTGCATTTGCTATTCCTGCTGCCTACAGTGCTCTTCCCCAACTTGTCCCGTGGCCAGCTGCTTCTCCTCATTCCTCATTTGTGCAGGTCCCTGTCCAAATAACCCCTCCGCAGAGAGACTTTTCCTAACTCCAGTCCAAAACAGCCTCCTTCTCCTTACTCTCTGCGACCTCACTCAGGGTCTTTCCTGCATAGGCTTTAAGCACCATCTGAAATTGCATTTGCTTCCTTTCCTTTCTCCCCCTCAAGAGTGTGAGTGCCACGAGTTGTATTTGCTGCTCTGTTCCCAGCACCCATCAAGGTACCTGGTGCAGAGGAGCTCCAAATAACTACACGTGGAATGAGTGAATGAATGGATCAAGCAATCCGTCAGTCAGGGTGTCTCAGGTGTGGGGGCTCTGTCTCTCCTTCCTCACTGCCTGCCTGCGGCCCAGCTCCCCCGGCCTCTGGCCTCCTTCAGTTGTCTGCACTTTGCCCATCCCACCCCGTCCATCCCCCCACTTGGTTGTCTTGCTTGTCAGAACAGTAGAGCCTATGGAAATTTCTTGGAGACCACAGAAGGAGGTGGTCAAATGCAGGATCATTCCCAGGTGGTTGTGAGATACAGAAACAACCTTACCTCATGTGTTTAGAGCAAGGACAGACCAGGGGTCTGGGCCCAGCCGCATCACCTCCCCAGTTTCAGGCCTCACGTAGGTTCTTCGCCTCCGTAAACCCTAGCCTTCCACCTATAAATTGGAGCTAAAAGGCCCACCTTGCAGGGTCATCAAGAAATCATGTTTGTCGAGATTTAGCACAGTGCGCGTAGGAGTAGGTGGGGCTTTTTTTGCTAAATAATGAGCGCAGGCCCTTCTCTATGACCAGGTGGGCTGAGTTGCGACAAACTATTTCCTTCTGATAGCAGTACTGGAAGACAGAGCTGACGCTGTTAATAATTGATGGGATGTTCGGCAACGGGAGGCAAGCCAAAGCACAGGCCCTAGCCTTCACCGTCAGGGGCGTGGAAATCAAAATCCATTAGCCAAAAGGCAACGTGATTGATTCTTGTTGGGAAGCTAGGGTCAGCCCCGTTGGAGCGACAGGGCTGTGGTCCTGGGCCACCACTGGGTTTCTGCTTTCTCGGAAAACTCTACAGGTTTTTCTTAGCAGGAGAGCAAGAGGGAAATAATTTCCGAGGCCAGGAGTGTCTGCCCTCCCTGGAATAGTCTCACGGCATATATCTCAGTCTGGGATAATTTCCTGATTTCCAGATTGGCTACTGTTTATGGTGCTAGGCACTGATTAGAGGTACTTTATATGTCCTATCTCATTGAAATCCCTTCAACAATCCTATCAGATAATCTGCCAATTTGGACTGCAAGTAATAAAATAGAAGACTCAAAGTGGCCTCTACAAGAGGGAAGATTCTCACATAACAGAAAACCCCAAGGTAGCTGGTTAGTCCTCCAGCTGGCTTGGTCCTCAGGCTGGATGCCTCATGTCACAAGAGGGCTAATGTAGGCCCATGAGATCCACCCAGTGAAGAGGGACATTTCCTCCTGTGTACCACCTTTTCTCTGAGAGGCAAACCTTTCCCAGGAGGCTCTATGAGACTTCTTTTCACATCCTATTGGCCACGATCTGGTCACATGCTCATGTTCTCACTGCAAGGAAGCCTGGGGGAAGCAAGTGTGGCATTTTCAGATGCGGGGAAAGAATGGCTTTGATGAGGGGTATTAAGACTCAGGGGCACCTGGGTGGCTCAGTCAGTTGGGTGTCTGACTTCAGCTCAGATCACGTTCTTGCGGTCTGTGAGTTCAAGCCCCGTGTTGGGCTCTGTGCTGACAGCTCACAGCCTGGAGCCTGCTTCGAATTCTGTGTCTCTGGCTCTCTCTGCCCTTCTGCCACTCACGCTCTCTCTCTCTCAAAAATAAATATTAAAAAAAATTTTTTTTCAACGGATTCTTTCACAGAGAGTAAATGGAGGCTCTGCGAGGTGAAGTCACTTGCTAGAACTCACATAAGCAAATGCTCAGCAAATATTTGTTGAAGGAATGAAAATGGGGTTTGGACCAGGGTTTGAACCCAGCTTGGTCTAGCTCCCAGCCTGCGTTTCTTAATCCTGGAATCTTGGGTAGACCTTTCAAGCTGTCAGAGCTTCAGTAAGCTCATCGGCCAAATGGTAGTTATAGCCATGCCCACCTCTTGGGCTGTTTTGATGACTCAGTGAGATTTCAGATGTGAATATAATTTGCAAGTGGAAAGTACTTTATATGTGTGAACAATCATCATTATATATTATTATATTCAAAAGCAGGAATGGTCTTTATGTAATGGCAGTGATCAGTATTTTGCCCACCACAGATTTGCTTAAGAATCATCTCAGGTGAAAGGGTGGGGGTGGGACCTGGCTGGCTCTGTCCGGGGAGTGTGCAGCTCTTGATCTCAGGGTTGTAGGTTCGAGCCCCACTTTGGGTGTAGAGATTACATAAAAATAAAATCTAAAAAAAAAGAAGAAAGAGAATCATCTCTGGGGTCCAGCAGATGTGAT